TATATATATATATATATATATATATATATATATATATATATATATATATATATATATATATATATATATATATATATATATATATATATATATATATATATATATATATATATATATATATATATATATATATATATACCTATTATAACTCCTTCGTCTATGTTTTCAGAGTCGAAGGGATCTACACAATGAGATATTAATTTATATATAAAAGTAAATATTATAAATAAGACAAAGGTAATCAGAATCATCTAAAAACAATTTGTCACTATAATGATAGGAAAAAAGATTTCATGTTAGGTCATAATGTTGACATTTGTATATTCATTTATGAAGTATAATATTGAATGTTGACATTTGTATATTATCAAGTAGCACGACGATGATAAAAGTCATTTTTAGATCAACACAATTAGAAAATTCAACTTGACATGCTAATTTTTTGAAGTCAACCAAATTGCAAAAGATTTTGACTTAATATAAGGCCAAACTATCTCTAAACTGCATAGTCCAACTCTATCAACAAATTGAAGTATATATCTCATTTTTAATTTAGGAGGATCAACGATATATTGTGAACCACCTTGACCACACCATGATGATCAACTACATTTAAATCCAAAGCAAGTTTGGAGCAGAAAACTAGTTTCTCCAACCAATCATAGTAGGCTGATTCCTGATTCTATACTATTTTAGAGATATTATATCATCATCGACCAATCAAAGCACATCAAAGTTTATATTAAAACATGATGGAAACTCTAGAAGAACATGTTACTATCGAGGGTTCTCGTAGACTACAAACCGTAGAGGGAGGGAAGCAGTATCCGATCCGATCCGATCCGAAGTGACCCAATCAGAAGTGACTTGACCCAAATCTAGACTCCCTGATCGAACCAAACCAGCCCGTGAATTGTGCCTCGAAACAATCCAATTCAAGGGCATTATCGAAAGTTTTAATAAAAAGGTATCCCATGGTAAAATTTAATTGTAAAAACATCATCCGATAAAAATCTAATAAGTTTTTCAATAAAATATCATATTCTATTTATGGATTATGGTATCACTATGATATAAATGCTTAATCTAGTTTGTGGCATGTATTATTCATTCGGTATCATTTTGGTCTAGTTATTTTCGCCAAATAAACATTTGACTGACGCTTGTAAAATAATTAAAAATATTTTTTTATCTAATTATATCATTATTATTATTATTATTATTATTATTATTATTATTATTATTATTATTATTATTTATTTTAATTTTTAGAATAATTTAAGTTGGAAACTCTCGAGTAATATACACATGAGTTCCATATTACAACATTTGATAACAATTATCCTACCACATCAAAAATGTTTTCCAACCCTATAAACTCGATCGATTCAACCTTAGGTGGTGGTAATAAATCATCTGTGTTTGGTACAGTAAATTTGGTAACATATTTTTTTTCCTTATAGAAACAAATAAGTAGCATATCATACAAGCTTAAACCTATTACCATGTACTGATTTCCAAATTGTTAGTGTGTCAGATATGCAAAGATAGGGCTTTTAATTATGTCACCATTGAAAGGGAAACCATAATAATATAATAAAGGAGAGAGAGAGAGAGAGAGAATAGCTATCTGACAAACAAATAGTTTCGGTCGTGGGCTTTCAAAACCAGTTGTAAACGGGCCAAATCTAATCGATGCCAAATCGACTCGAACCGGCTTGAGGATTGCAAGATCAATGCAACGCTCAACCCGGTCCAGCTTTGATTACTTTCCACATCAAGTGGTGTTTCTAATCACATAGTTAAAAAGACTAGGAGTTAACTTGATCTTCTTGGTGAGGATTCAAGCAAAACACATCATTTATTCAAGTCAATTTGCAGTCCATGCCTATCTTATGCTAAGCTCATGCATCAGATAAATAGAATAAGAAGCTAAATGCGTTAGCAAGAGGTTCACAGTCTATTTAATACTCGATTGCATGCTCACACTCACAGCTTTTCACTTGTATGTGTATTCCGTTGCCACATTCTGGCACAATACTTGCTGATGACACTTCGTCTCTCTTTCCAACTCGGTTCTTAGGTTGAGAACCATGGATGCACTGAACATTCTGAAACCAACTCAAATGTTCTACTGCCTGATTCTGGTTTCAGCAAGCAAATACAGATTTGACATCAACCAATGTGAACCCATCAGGAACATGCACAACCCTTTTTCACTACACATCTCGAGTCGAACCAGATAGTAAGGTAAGAATGGTATTTGGCCTCAGAAAACAATCTGTGTCAACATAATCCCTTTTCACGACACATCATGCTCTACAAAGGTGAATGAGATACATATAGACTCCCGATATGGAAGAATTACCAGGGTTTTCTAAAAAATAACCTATAGTTGCTCAATCAATTTGTGAAGCAAGATATATAACAATATCTTCTTGTGTTTGTCATGTAGTTTAGGTAAGAAGACTAATACAAGAATCTCGTGTCACAGAAGAAATCAACCAAAATTTATGTTAATAATATGTCAACTATTTTTTTGGCTAAAAATCTAATCTATCATGAGAGATCCAAGCATATTGACATAATGTTTTATTTTATAAGAAAGCAGCATAAAGATGTGAAGCTACTTCATGCAAAAACAAATGAACAAGTAATCTTTACACAACCCCTAAAAGTTGAAATTTTCAAATATCTCACATAAAAGACAAGTTAAATTAAAATTCAGTACCCAGGAAGAGTCCAATTTAAATTTTACCTCATAAGAGATTAAATATGATATATTGTCTTCAGAGTCTATCCTTAGACTGTATATGGTTATGTTTTGTATTCTTTTTTCTCAGTAACATGATAAAAGATTCATATATTCGACTTTAAATAATTAAAACTTATGATATTATTATTATTATTATTAAAAATAAGTAAATTGTGTCAAGTTTTTAGTGAATATATTTGAGATATCTTTTCTTTTGTCTAAATTATTTTATTTTACTCTCGCTCTGATGGGTCAAGGCCATTGTTTCTTTCAATCTGTTCTGATCATCTTTTGAACAGGGTGAGATGAAGAACTGCAATGCATGTATGTACTGTGGGTCACAAGAGTGCAGACCACACTAAAAGCATGGCTTAGGTATTCACTTGCCTTGGACAGCAGACTTGGATTGTTTTCAGCCACGAAGCTTCAATCAGAAAAGGTGCTCTCAGCTTATCGCCCACAGAAATAGCAGAATGGAGCCCATGGCTTAGTTGTTCACTTACTTGCCCAGGGCAGCAGACTTTGATTGTTTTCTATCGTGAAGCTTCAATCAGAAAAGAAGGTGATCTCAGTGTATCGCCCACATAAATATCAGAATGGAACCATTTTGCTGCAGGTGATGAAGTACAACTGACAGTCCTTGGCACAGTCCTCACTTGAGCTGCAGATTAACCTAACAAGAGCATGTAACATCAAGTCAGTACCATGGCACTCGTCTCAAGGATGGATTGTTGTGGCACACAGGATTGAATCTTTGCGTCGGAGTGGATCCATACCCAGGATGGATAAATCAGTATCCATCCATGTTTAGGCTCATCTCGTCTGAATACAAACATGATTTATGCTTTTGTTACCGATGATAATGTCATCAGTGGGACCCATCAAGGATAAGAAAGAAACGTGGCTTCCCCCCACTTGCATTCACTGATCTCACTGCTATTGATGTGGTAGATCCAATCCACACAAGAATCCATGAAGCTGGGGCAGGGAAGATTTAGGTTGGTAGCATGAAATGAAGCCCCAAGTTCACGTGCATGCAGTACACCGAATAAAAACCCTAACATGCATTGTATGTGTGGCAGCAGGGTCACCACGAAGCAACATATTTTTCTTTGTTTTAGCTTTGTTATGACGGCAGCCTGTGATTGCAAGCAAATGAAGGCCACCAGTTCCATGACACCGCCGAGAAGAGAACAATGCAAATGATGCAGTGGGAGCCCCAGATCAAGGGTCACATGCTCCAGAGAAGACAAGGACTCACCATTTCTTGTTCTTTTCCTGGTTAGAACTGTTGTGGTTGCTATTTCTTGAAGCTGTTCCAGAATGATCTGTGTGACTCCTGGCTCTTCTTCAATGTTTAGGGTTTCTTCTGGGGAAAGTGAACTATTGTTGGATGCCTTCTGATCCAAGTAGCATGTGCATTAGAACTCTGGGAGCCATGAATCTTTCTACAGGGCACACTGGGAAATGGTGTATGACATTAAGAAATTAAGGTTGACTCTCTAATGGAGATTTAAACTCAACTAAAGTAGTTCAAGGCAATAAATTAAGTTCACATAAGACAACAAGCCGCACCTGTTCTGATGTTTGAGTATGTATTCTGTCATCCTCCATGATTGCACAGATTGCTAGCGGAGGTACAGATTGCTACTAATGGATCAACCTGACTATAGTTTCACATCAGCACAACTTTCATTAGCATATAAATCTTTCCTTATCACCAACAGCAACTTCTGAGTATTATTTTCCAAGGTTTAATCTATCTGGTATTCGAGTTCGGATTATAACTAATATAATATACAAATAATTGCTTAAATAAAATGACAAGATAGTTACCTCCCAGAGTGGACAAAGCAGTATCCTCCCGCCCGTGATCAGCTGCATGTGATCAGGAGCAGCTGCTGTTGTCATTGCCCCACTCATGTGCCCTACTTCGGCCTTTGCATGCATCAGGAAGAAACACACTTACAGAAACCCTCTCCTCTGTGATGGAGTTTTGGTGGAATTGTAATCTTTCATGTCACTGTTACGAGTTGATGTGCATGTAGCAGAGGCTGCAGAACTCCTGGACTAGCTTGCAGCAAGCTGTTAGGGTAGTGTTGTCCCTGCTGATTGTCACAAGATATATGAGCGCGTGATTCCCCCAGAAACAAAATACTATGTTTACAAAAGGTTTGAGTGACAAGAATGTGACTGTTTGCGTAGGACATTTTGAATTCCTTGCCTTTCAGACTTCTCTATTGTTATGTAGCAGTAGGTGGAGAGGAACGAGTCACGAGAGAGGGAAAGGGCTTGTGGCTATTTAAACCCAGCCTTCCCTCCTCTCTCACACAAAACGTAAAGATGAGGGACTTTAGACTGAAATGCTTTGGGCTGATTCTCCTTGTCATTCTTGTGATGTGCTCAAATTTTGATGGCTGTGAGGGGAGGAAAGGAAGGCGTTGGAGGAAACAAAAGCCTCCCTCTTCCTCCTTGGCTAGAAAGAAGGTTAAAAATGGTGGTGGCGACAACCATGGCAGCGGAGGAAGAGGAGATTACCTGAGTGCAACTCTGAGCCCAACCCCGATAACAGAGTATCCGATGAAGACAGCCATGTTCAATGTGCTCGATTTCGGAGCAAAGGGAGATGGCATCACAGATGACACCGAGGTAGCCATTGTTACCTTCTCCTCGTATCCTTGTTGGTATTAGCATCCACATTGCTGACCATTACAAACCAGCATGGCTCTCCTTGATTGGCATTTTATCACATTTAACACCTACAATACAACACATCTACATGTTAAGTTAATAAGGATATGTTTCTCTTTGCAAGGTATTGACAGTATGCCAACTAGTTTTCCCTCGGTGGGGAAAAGCAATAAAGCCATAACTAAACCAGCAAAAGTTCCAAAGCAAGAGTTAGAAACATCCTCTTTTTTTGTCTCTTTCACCTAAAAGAAATTTTCAAGTGCATATATCGTACGTCTAAATTGCAGAAGCTGGTGTATATATACAGCATGTAAACAGAAGAAATGGTGGAAAAAGTTGATGCTCATATACCTGACTTCATGAACAAATGCAGGCCTTCCAGGCTGCTTGGGCTGCTGCTTGCAAGGTGGAAGGGTCAACTGTGGTTGTTCCAGCAGAATTTGAATTCCTTGTAGGCCCTATCTCCTTCTCTGGACCTTATTGTCAGCCCAACATTGCTCTCCAGGTATATCTCGCAGCTCAATCCTGAAAACAAAATCCTCAAAACAAATAAGTAACTGACAAGAAAAAACAACTAAATAGGATACTTGTGTACTACAGTTTGCTAGAAACAATTGGTCATTATATTGGCAAGTAGGTTTCGTCATGATCCACTGTGTAGGTCCAGGTTGTGCCTGACCACAACTTGAAAGATTTAATACATGGGTTCAAGGAACCAAGACAGGTATCCAGAATCAGATAGTTATCACATTAGATCCTAGTGTTAACCAGTTTAGATACATTTGTATAATTTGACAAGAATTTGTTATTGATAGATTGGATGGGTATGAGCCATGAAACCCCCACAGCAACAGCAGCTACCTCTTACATAAGCAAACCTGTGATAAGAACCATCGGAACTATTGGTAATGAATAAACAGGTTTAATTTAAGTTATTCCTTCCTCCAAAGAAAAGGTTTAACTAAGTTTACCAGCAGGGTCCAAACAAAAGGAGAAAACTGATATGCTCTGTAGAACTGAACTCTCTTGCAGCTGAACTCTCTTGCAGCTGGATGGAATGATCATTGCTCCAACTGATGCCAAAAGGTGGGGTTCTGGGCTACTGTGGTGGATTGAGTTCTCAAAGCTGCAAGGAATATCAATTCAAGGCAGTGGAACAATAGAAGGGCAAGGCAGTGTATGGTGGACAACTATGGAGTCTGATGTTGATCCAGTAAGCCACATAAACATCTATCTCCATCATAAATATATGAATAGATCTGCCCACCGTTCCCAATTTCTAGAATTCTTATCTGCTTACCAGAGAAGAAAAACCAATCCAGGTTCATTTTTTGTTAAAGTAATTCTTGTCACCTTGAGGAATAAGTACCATCTCACAATATATATTCAACAAAAACTCCTGACTTTCATCCTTCAGACTCATATCCCATTCTAATAATAATAATAATATTCATCAGATATTCCTAATGGTGAAACCTTTGACAGATAAATGCTGAGCTCAGTATGAAACTGCCGCAGATCAAGCCAACTGTAAGATTTCTTGCCTTGCAGCTACACTAACAATAAAGCAATATCAAGACATGATTAACAATACTTTGCATATTTTTTCTTCTCTAATTCTGTTCTGCAGGCTCTGAGATTCTATGGGAGTTACAATGTCACAGTAACTGGCATCACAATCCAGAACAGTCCACAGTGCCACCTCAAGTTTGACAATTGTGAAGCTGTCCAGGTCTTCAACATGACAATCAATTCACCAGGAAGCAGCCTTAACACAGATGGCATACATCTTCAAAATTCTAGAGATGTTATGATTCATCATACCAACATGAGCTGCGGTATAGCCTATACGCCATTCAGGAATTTCCTGTTTGATGACATACAAAATGATTATTCTGGTGATTGTTGACCCTCATACGAAGAGTCAAAATGATCATGGGGACCAACTTGACTTCATTTTTTTAATACATTTTTAGGCCTTCCCTGTTCTTAAAACAGCTTAGAATGCAAGTTCCAGTGTTCTTAGTCTTAGGCATCATCTCACTAGATGTTTATCCAATATACAATAGTGACCAAAAAAATTAAGTTTTATCCGCTGGTGGGAGACCAGATTCTTCCCAATAATTTTTATCTTCACCTGAAAGAATAGAAATCAAATAATGAGAAAGAAAGTGCTTAGAATTCGAGTAAAGAAAAATTAACTTGCACTTATATCATACTTCACTTATAAGTTAATTCCAATCATGTCATCGATGTAACAGCTATTGACTTTCTTAATATACAGGTGATGACTGCATCTCCATCCAAACCGGATGCTCAAACATCAATATACACAGTGTAGAATGTGGCCCAGGCCACGGGATCAGCATTGGAGGCCTCGGAAGAGACAACACCAAAGCATGTGTTTCTAACATAACAATAAGGGATGTCAATATGCACAACACCATGACCGGTGTCAGAATCAAGACCTGGCAGGTACATGCTTGAGCAGCATCATAAAAATTATGATAAATTCGACCCTTCTGATTTTTCTCAGTTAGGCATTCATAAAAATCAAGGTTGATGTCTTCTGCAAAGAATTAACAGTTGACTAGCAACATCAAATCACAATTTTCTTATCCTACCAATACAATTCCTTGTTAGCTACATTCTTCGAGTCCTTGTGCTACCTGGATGTGCTAATGGTTATCTGCATACCTATTAAATTATCACAGGGTGGATCGGGCTCCGTCCAGAGTATAAAATTCTCAAACATAAGAGTATCAGAGGTCCAAACTCCAGTTGTCATAGACCAATTTTACTGTGACAGAAGCTCCTGCAAGAACCAGACATCAGCAGTGGCACTGTCCAGCATCGCATATGAGAACATAAAAGGGACCTATACAGTAAAACCAGTGCACTTTGCTTGCAGCGACAGCTCTCCATGTTCAGACATTAGCCTAACCGAGGTTGAGCTTGAACCACTACAGGAACATTATCATATTTATGAACCCTTCTGCTGGCAGGCTTTCGGGGAACTGTACACCCCAACCGTTCCTCCAATTGTCTGCCTGCAGAATGGAAAACCAACAAGCAAACCTATCTTGTCCGATGATGACTTGTGCTGATACTACCATGGTCAATAATCATTGATGCAAATACATGTGTGGTCATTTAATTATCACGACCCCTTTGCACCATTAGGAGTAAAAATCTAGATTCTCCAGTTAACATCATTACAATTACTACAAGAGTTTATATAATTTTCATATATAAGCAAATATATGTACATTGTTGTTCCCCGTAGTGGCACTCCACATATATTGATATATGGAAATAGGTTATGCTAAGTTCAGTTCATTGTTAATGGTATATATACAGATCATTAGTTATATATGTTGATTCAAATTTTGAGAAACATGCAGCAGCTGTGCTAGCTATTCAATTTTATCGAAATAAGCTGAATGACAATCATTAGAAATATTTACTTAATGCACTAAGCCTTTGTTTCTAAGCATTTCTGGAGCTGCTTAAATTAAAGTTTCTGATGCCAAAGACTGATGAAAACCTCCCAAGGCAAGCAGAATCTTATCCAAGCAACTAACGGAACAAAAATCTATGCACAGGTGAATTAGTTCATCAGAAGAAACATAACAGTTTTTGATGCATCAGTTCTGCCAGAAGTAGTATAGATATTTCTCAAACAAGAATTCACTAGAAGCACTCATGACAAGCAATGCAATGAGAACACTTGAAAGTCCATACTTGTTTATAAGTTCCAAAATAAGATAGCCTTGTCTGGGAAATATGATAGTACCAAAGGGCAGAGGCTGCTTGATCAAATTATCTGACATTTTGTATAAACTCCACAGATCGTTCTATAAAACAGATGTACAGTTACATGCATATGTTCATACAGCTACCCTAGCAAGTAAATGGAAATTAAAAGTTAAAAAAGAAAGGAAATAATATTTTAGTCTTCCACTACATACAAGTGATAGGACAATCAACACTAATTGGACAAGTAACAATACACCTATGAAATGCCAGCTAGGTTCAATAATTCATTACAAAAACAAAAATGTGTATGTTTTTGGCTGTTTGTAGTTTCAACCTACTCAGAAGTAACTTCAATTTACCACCATAGAAATAAGTTTTCATTGTTCTTTACCCACTATCCATCTGCTCAACTTGACTTGAAAATAAATATGCATCTTTAAGGGAATTTCATTTATCAAGTATACATTGGTTAAGACCCGAAGTTTGATGACCAGAATGTATATATCTTTTAAGTGCAAACTCTGAAAGATTGGTCACATGTTAACACATCTCCCTCCCCCTTTCATACCAGTAAATGTTAAGTTATCATGCAATGTCCAGATATCCTTAAGAATTTGGCATCTAATAGTACCATAGATAAATATTTGAAGATTTTGAGCATGTTAGTAGTATTGTTCATTTTTTACAACACTTATAAGTGGAAAAAAAATTATATCAGAACCACTAGGCATTGCAACTGGCAAGAAGAGTATACACGGTCACGATGCACCTAAGTTATTTGTACTCATAAATAAGTGGTATCAGGTGTTACTATTCTCCACATGGTCAGCATTGAATTTGATCATATGGAGACTAATCAAAATTTGGTACTACACATTGCCCATCAGCTGTGCAACTTCTCCAATTTGTAGTCATGTTTATTAACAAACGCCATGTCCATTCTTTGTTACACACCCCTCAGAGCTTTACACATCCCATCCATCATCAGGGCAACAACATGAATCTCATGTCATAATAATTCTTATTTCAATCAGTTCTAAACCACCTTATCCAACATTAAACGAGTAGGCACCAGTGATTTTAAAAAAGCTCAAAAATTATCATTCTTCCACATGTTCTCCAAAAATTACAACCAAATATACAAAATAGTTCACCATCAAGATAACCTAAAACCACAAAGAAATCAACTTTACTGGATTATGTTGATCATAGGTGATGCAAATTAACTAGGTTTTTTCAAACATGACAAAATCATGAGAAGAATGACGTACTGGTGGATATTTCAAACATCTTCTCAACCAATGTCTTCAAATTATCATCTAAGATACGCTTGTTCTTCGCCCTCAAATCAAGCCTGGGTCAGGAAACTCCACGATCTTTAACGGCGGAGCAGAAATCACCAGCTAAGAAACCGACCCTATTTCTCGTCAATTAATAGGTAGGTTGGAATGACCTACGGCGAGCGAAGTCGTCCAATGGACAGGGCGAAATCACGCTGGGCTTGGGTGGAGAACCCCGTGGCAGAGGGCAGCGAGCTAAGATTGGGGTTTCGATGGAGAAGCAAAGAAGGGATCTCCCAGGGTAGGGTAAGAGGAAGCGAGGGGGCGGCGTGGTGCGAGCAGGGTTGAGGATGGCGTCGGGGAGGGCGGGTGAGGCGGTGAGCCTGGCGGCCGTTGCCTTCCTTTGCGGTTGGTTTGTATTGTAATCTTGGTGCTGCCGAACCCGAGTCCGACCGTTCCCGTCTCTGACACGACGGTTCGTCGAATCGATTTTTATTTTTTGTTTTTTCCTAATTCTTCTTTTGTGTTTTGTCCTATATATATATATATATATATATATATATATATATATATA